CTCGACGCCGTTTAATAAAAATTTTTCTTGGTTAAACACATCGCAGTGTAAAGGACGAATCAGATCGACCGTCTTGTCTTTACCGACGAACGCTTGCCTATTCGCGAGGCTATATTCTTGCTCGCTGTATCGTCCATATAACCGGGCGTGTCGTCGTACCAGAGCACGCTTGAGAGGTGTGACCCCTTAGCGGCGGGCCCGTAATTCAATTGTGTCTCTATATAAGCTCTGTAAGGGTACGCGTTATTAGGCGGCGATACGAGCTTCTGATTAAAAAATACATCCACCTGATTGAATAGCGAGTGTAGCAGATTGTTAACAGGGGCTACTTTGCTCAGAGCGTCCGGCGCTAACGCATCCTTGGATCGCAGCTGTACGTGTAAACTCAGCATGGTGTGTGTTAGGTCGAGGTACTCGTCGCCGTTACCCGAGAAAACCGAGAAAACTACCGATACCATGACCTCGCTGATACGGCGATCCCGCGAACACCCGAAATTTCGTGGAGGGTCCCCCACCTATCTGCGAATCATAGTAATCGGTGTAATGAGCCATCAGTCTAGCTGTTTAAAGTGTAGTGTTACGGAGAGCGTCCCTGGTTCGTATGGTATGGGGTCGCCCAGGTGGTCTCTTATATCGATGTCGATCGTTTAAAAAGTCGTGCGGAACAGCGGTATGTACTTTAACGGTGAAAACGAGAGCACTTTTACGGCAGCGTACGCGTATTTGTTATCCGTCTGCAGGGGAACCACGCGGAGCAGGGGCGTTTGGACGTCTCCGATGATATATGGATGCAGACGTCGGTGTAAACGAAAAGCATCTTGGGTAGGGCGTTGATCAGACTAGCTGGTTGATTGGCCATCACAATGGGTTCTGCTTTCGATACCACGACAAACTCGGTAAAACCTAGGATGCGCGCCAGAGATCGGCAGAGTCTCATCTCGTACGGATCGTCTAGATCGTTATCGGTAGAGACGAACGATACGCTCGCGTAACCGCCTCTACAGAGTGCTAGTTTCAGACGGCCCCTCATAGCACTGGTAGCGTTTATTTCGTCAATGAGTGTCCTTACGTCATCGTAAACGCCGTGCGCTACGTTAGAACACCTCATCATAAGGCCGACTATCGGTTCTTTGTGGTTCTTCCTCGGTTTGGTACAGGTGGTGACCATGCCTACGTAATCCCAGTCTTTTAGCGCTACGGGCACGTGAAAAAGGTCATAGGAATCTGTATTTCAACCAGAGCAACAGACCATGTCCCGTATAAATCGATCTGATGCGGTAGATGCCTCGTAAAACTGGTAGTTTTATTTTCGGAATAGTACGACATACTGCTGTTACTAGGAAGGACGAGATAAAATTGGTCCTTCATTGCTTTTTAAGCGAGATGCCGGTATCCACGAATTAAATTTCTCGGGTTAACCGACCCAGCTGACCAGTACTTTTTGGGCTTTCCCACGACCGCTTCGTTTTATTATACGATCGATGAGAAACGTGTCCTTTGCGAGGTCCTTGCGAAGTCGAACGAGCTCCTCTTCATAAAAAATACCGTCAATCTCCTCGCCGGCGAGATCTTCTAAGATGTAGACGGGCGGTTCCCTCGTTGTACCCAGGCGTACGATTTTAAAAATCTCTCGAGTCCACCTACCCTCGTAACCTTTCGCAAAAGGGTTCCTAGCGCTACTGAGGCGTACCAGGTCGCCGACAATGTATTCAGGGACACGCGTGCTCGCTAATGCGTACCGCGTAGATAGGTTCATACGTGCCTTATCGGCATTATACTTGGTTACGTCGACTGAGCGCATTCTTATCCCTGAGTGTCGTGTCCTGTTGTATGATTCCACGAGGTTCTGAAGAATATCCATGTACCGCCGTGTGCTTCTATGTGTAAAGTAGCACCACATACGCTCCTTCAGAGTACGATTGTAGCGTTCGACGACACCTGCCTTTACGTCGGGGCTGCGCGCTACATGGAATCCTATACCATGTTCCTCCTACGCCAAATTCCTCCTCTGTACACGAGCTCTGTGTCAGCTCGATAGGGCGCGGTACGATTGTTACACGGGGCGGTGTCTGATTACCGAAAGACGTCGTGTTGCTCCCCTCCCTCCATAGACGCTGATTACCGATAAATTCGCGCGGTATACCAGTAGTACGGAGGAACCGCGCAAACTGCCGACTACCCGCCGGTCTCGCTGTTTTTCTCTCACGCATAGCGTCGTTGATTAAATCAACGATGTTGGCATCCTACACGACGACTCCACCGATACGCGTAACGCCCTGTTTATCTCACGAGATGCGTGGCGAACCAGCGTTGCGCATCCTTCCTAGTAAGAGCTTAGCCTTAGTTCTGTACTTTTGGGGTACGCTAGCGATGATGTCGTCGTCGTCATCGTTGGTCGAGCTCCTGGTGTTATCCGCAGAATTGTTATTTTTTTTCTTGTCGTCGTTATCGCCTCGCCTATCCTCGTCGGCGTTATTTCGCAGGTGCTCGATAAAATATAGATAACTCTGCAGCACCTGATTGTACATCTTCCACTTTTCGAGTTCATCGATGAAATTCGGCGAATGTAGGATCTTCTTCATGGATGCGTCTAATCTGCTTGAGGGGGTCCCGGAGGCTGCACGGTGTTTACGGTCTCGACACCCTGGTGCTGCTGCTGGTGGTGGTGAGGCGTATGAGGCATCGCACGGTAGTGTTGCTGGTCCACGCTCTCCTGAGGGATGATAACCATCTTTTTGGTGTGCTCCATCTCGATCTCTCTCTTCGCGGCGTATACCCGTATCCCCTTCCCCCTATGAGTTTCGATATGATGGTGCCCAGTATGGGCGCTAGCAGAAGAGGTAACAAACCACCGCTCTGAACGATAAAACGTTTTCTAGTTTTGACGGCGGAACCTGGCCTGGATAAACGTCTCAACAGTGGCGCGTGTTTTCGTAAGCGACGTTTTTGAGTCCGTTTGAGAGGCACGTTATCGCGTAGAATATTCAGAGCGCGTTCGCATGTACAGTTGACGAGTCGTGGGTCGGCTACGCGTAACATGGCGATACGCTGTTTGCTATCCAGATGGCAAATAGCCTTTAACACTATAACGTGCTTTCGGCCTATTGCGACGCGTGCGCTGGATACCATTACAACCGAATGACTGGTACGTCTCGATTGGTGTATGCGCCCTTTATACCCTTTCGCGGTACGTACACGTAGTGGAACGGGTCCGAGGGAAACACGCACGTGCGAAAGCGACAGTTATCGGGGGTCGATTGCTTCAAATCGAGTAGTAAATAACCGTGCGGTTGGGCCGTGACATCGCGGTAGACTTCCTGTACGAAGCGCGGATTTTCAGGAAACATCTCTCTGGCCAGATACTGTATCTGCGTTCTGTCGCGCGGGTTTTTAAATACAACGATGTAGTTGGCGTTCAACGAGATATCGCGTTATCCAGGCCCCTGATGAAAGAGATTCTGCGTGATAAAGATAACGCTGATGTTCTTATGATGGCTGCCTTTGGTAAAAAGGTCGACCACTGTGTAATTGGACGATTCCCTCATGAGATCGTCGATGATGACGAGTTTCGGGCGCGGATAGTTGCCGTAATCGGTGTTTTGCGGTAGTCCCTCGTGAAACTCTACAGCATTCCCGTACTCCCTGTACCCCTCCTGCTACACAAACACAAAACTAAAAACTAAACTTTGATACGAGATAACGGATCCTCCAGATCGCCGCCGAATTGGCAAACATCGGATCTCAACGATCGTGTAAGCGGAAGGCGACGCGTGCTGTCTGGATCTAAGATCCAGCAGCTAAATCTATGGTCCAGTTAATCTCGATCAATTACAAAATCATGTAGCTCGGTAGCGTCATTCACCCCGAATAGCCCTCTCCAATTCATCCAAGCCCTCTCGATCCATCTCTCTCTTTCTTCTTTACACTGCTCTCACTCTCATTTTATACTTTTCTATCTACACTTTCTCTTACTCTCTCTGTCTATCTCGCTATCCACTTTTGGCAGACGCACCGTCCAAGACGTCAGCTACACCGAAGTGATGCTACCCGATAGCTCGCCCGCTAACGTGCCCTAGTGGCGCGGAGGAATATTACCCATGGGGTCAATCAAATTCGCGCTAGCCCCTACGCGGCCCAATTCGCACGTGATCTTCAATTGTCTCCGGGATCCTAGAAAAATAGATCTGCGCATCTTCTCCTCTTCTGGGCGATTGCAGTGTCTTTTCTTGGGGCGGGAATCTCATCCGCATCCTATCCCTCGTTGTACGGCTCCAGGCCGCCACTGCAACCCCCTGATGCTACCAGAATCTTGGATCTTCTTGCGGCGTCCTTCCGCGTAGGTGGCCTCGCTCAGTGGTGCTTTGCGGTCGCGCTGGCCCTCCTCCTGTTGGCTACATCACGTTAGTGCTGCTGATTGCATTAACCGGGTCCCTTTGCTGTAGTCAGGGCCGTCGCTGGTGTTCCACGGACCTCGTTACTTATAATTTTTCTCCGATCGGTTCCCTTACGGGACCGACCACCGCTAGTAACATACAAAATACAGACCCCAAAGGCAATTAATAAATATTCTACACGCTAAATTCAGTCCACGCTCGACGCAAATGTTAGATTGCCTTGCTCAGCATTACTGTCCGTACCATTCTTGTTCTTTGTCGTGATCTCTCTTTCTTCCTGCTCATCCACCTGTAATGTGGCAGTGTTGGTGTGATTTCTGGAAATGTGAGAGAGTGTGAGATGTCGTGTATAATATAATGATGTCCCTAAATTATCATAATATATAACTTATAGTAAGTAACGCATGTTCGTCGAGGATCAGTTACATTCATTGTGGTTCTTAACCTTTTGCTAATGGGAGTATTAAGGGGGTGCTGAGGGGGGGGGGCAATAGGGAACACATTCTCTAAACCTGAATATTTTCCTGAACGTAATAGACGCGAAAAAACGTGTATTATGACATGAGCAATAATAAAGCCTTTTATCATTATATTTCACAGGTGTTTTACAAACATTTCACAATGAGTAACGACAAGCAAGAAGTCTTGTATGGATGTAAATTCATACTTGTCGAATTCCAAGACGATTGTCAAAGTGGCAATAAACTTTTACCAATAGAGTTGGTACCGAAGACGTGGGTAAAAGTAGTTGAAGGTCAATACTTTTGTAAATATCCCCCAGAAAAAGTCTTCGAGTATGTAGGAAAATGGACTAATGAAGAAAAAGATCCGGAACGTAGCTGGAAATCTTATCCAGTTATACTCTTCCATGGCGCAGGTAATAATGCTGATTAATCAGTAAAATTCTACTGTGTCTCAACTATTGAGTTAAATATTAATAGAAATTGGTATTGCACAAGTTTTATAATTTTTCCATCTAGCTGATTTCGATCAAGGCAAAAGACGTCTTGGAAGAGCATATCAAACGCGAAGCTGTGCCATTACTGATGGCGAAAGAAGGAAAAGCTCGGTTAAAGATGACGTTATTTCAAATTCTGATATCCATAAAATGCTCTGTGTCAAAACTTCCATGAACGTGAATTCGAACGACGGAGAAACAGGCAGCGAAACCGGTAATATGCAAAATTTACTTTATTATAAAACTCACTTTGATTAATAATTTATAAAAATCCAGATTCAGTTTCACATAAATGGAGATCGCAAGGGACTAGGCTAAAGCAACGCGCATCGTTGAAGAAAAAGTCGAGGAACAGACATGATGTCTCTGATGACAGTTCAGATTCCAAAGCATCGACCGACTCGGCTTATTCGCCAATCGGGAATCTCAAGAAACAATCTCGTAAATAATTGGGTTCTTTTTTTTTCTTACTTCATAGTATTCGAATGTCAAAGAAAGATTTTTTTTCGAAGAAAAAAGCAAACACCGTGCATCTCGTTCTATGACGAATCCACATTTGAAAACCGCAAGTATCGACAATATTGAAGTTGTGTTGCTGGAAATCGATCTAACGGAGACCGAGGACCCGCGTCACCCACAAACGTTATAAACAACAATAAATTTCACCTCGAAGGTTAGTTATAAAACAAAAAGACTTGATAATACATTTGACGGATCCTATTTGTACTTAATCGTCATTTCTTTTATTACCCAGGCACTGTAAATTCACAAAGATTCAGGGAGGGTCGAACTCAGAGATCTAAAGGCGATGATCATCAAAGTAACAATAGCAAGGACTTGGAGTCGGAACTACACACAACCTCTAAAACTGTGAAAAGGTCATCTACTAAGAAAAGGAATGTGAATGAAATTAATCGAAATGGTAAGATCAAAAAACTGAATTTTAATTAACAAAGACTTAATGGTAAAGCATAATTCATTTCACATATATATGAAATGTTCATTTTCATGTACAGTTCATTTTTGAGGCTCTCGAAAGCTCTATTAACCAAAGATTAAAATCTGTCAAAGACAGCATTCTTTATAACATTGAACATAAATTGGAAGAACTGAAACTGGCTATCGTGGCGTCCAACATTCCTCGAGTTCCCCACGAAACTGTTGATACATTGGTTAAATCCGTTAACACGCCCTTGCCGATTGGAAGCTTGAACGATTTTTTGGAATTCGATAAAGCTGTAAGCGAAGAGCAAAAGAAAAAAGACGCATTGGTAACTTTTCTCTACTAATATTATTTAACGTCAATTCTCTTAAACTATATTATATTTCAAATATTTTTAGATTGCTCTGTTCAACTTCCTTTGCTTCGAACACCCATCGAGTCAGAAATGCATTGATAACGCGCTGCCAAGAATTTTCCGGAAGAAAGTTCAGGGAAAATATTCGGGTCAAGGAAAAAAGGTTAAAGGAGTCGGGAAATTGGATTTCAGCGCTACAGCGACTTTTGCGTGTTTTCAAGGTGGGTTTATTACAAGAACAAGACTTTTTTTATATCGTATAATTTATATTTGATTCATGTTTTATTTTGTTTTTTTTTTGTACAGAGGCAATAAGAACGAAGTTCGGCGAATCTGACGAATCCAAAGCACTGAATTCGAAGATTGGTATTTGGCTGTCGAATTTTGGAGATCGAGAAGGTGGACGTCAGGAGCGTCCCTTTTTCGAGAGCTGAGCATAAGCTTTGAAAAAAAAAACATGATTCCCCTTCCCCTTACATTTTGCAAAATCAGGAAAAGGTTTTTATTACCATCGCATATTCTTCAAATGCTTTAAAAAATGCGTATGAAACAAATCTGTTTTTTTTCGATATAATTATTTGCTTCTCATTTTGCTATTTAATCTAAACAACACTTTTCATAGAAAATAAAACGTTTGTAGTATCGAATTAATGTTGTGCTGTTTCTCTTACATTTCGTTGTCATGTTTCATGACTTTTTTATCTTTAAAAAAATATAAAATTGTAAATTACAGGCGAGCGACTTACAGTAAAATTCATTTTACTATACTAACATGTCAAATAAACTGTCTTCATTTAACAATAAATCGAGCGGTGCGCAAATATTGAAGACTATATTGAACCCCTATAAAGATTGAGTGTTGGGCCATCATCGGGGTATTACATCGGCCGAATATTAAAATTACTTCTCTGCTTAGGCACGCATCCAACAGTGGCCTTATATTGAGAGCAGATGATGGGGCCGTCGTTGAGCATTTATATTGGCTGATTATTGCGACCAATTCTTGGTCTATGCAAGCGCCCAATGATGGGCTTAAATCGAGTGCAGATTATTGGCCTATTCAAGATTAGTCATTTTGGGGCCAATATGGACTGCCAACATTGGCATAAGGTTATCATCCAAGATTTGCTTGATGATTGGACCAAGCTTGAATGTCAATGTTGGCACTATCGGCAGCGAGGTTAGCCCAAGCATCGACCCGTTCCGATTAACCTCCGTAAAGTTAGCCGGGCAACTTCGACTTATCGAATTTCTGTACTTGCACATCGATTGTTAGTCATTTGTTATTGATTGTTAGACTAATTAAAACATTTGTTAGATAATAGTTTCTTTGCAATAACGAAAATAAATTTTAGTGTTAAGTTAGCCGAAAAATACTGATTTTTTCACAGTTTTTGTTTCGAAACGGGTGCAATCGATATGAAATCGTTTGTTAGTCCCGAATAAACTAATTAAAACATTTGTTAGATAACGATTTCGCTTAAAATAGCGAAAAACCATCTATCGTCTCGCTGGCCGGGAGTGGGGGTAAGGCATGGAATATGCGATGTGAAGATAGCTGGAAATATAATTAAGAGGTCAAAACTGGAAGCTAATGTTTTTTTTTTTTAAAAAAAACTAATACCTTGGGGTGTGACAGCATTGGAATTCTTAGCTAATCTAACCTAACATAACAAATGTTTTTATTAGTTTATTCGGGACTAACAAACGATTCCACATCGATTGCACCCGTTTCGAAACGAAAACTGTGAAGAATAATTATATTTCTGGATATCTTCACATCGCATATTCCATGCCTTACCCCCACTCCCGGCCAGCCAGACGGCAGACGTTTTTTCGCTATTTTAAGCGAAATGGTCATCTAACAAATGTTTTAATTAGTTTATTTGGGACTAACAAATAATTCCACATCGAATGCACCCGTTTCGAAACAAAAATTATGAAAAAATCAATATTTTTCGGCTAACTTAACACTAAAATTTATTTTCGTTATTGCAAAAAAACTATTATCTAACAAATGTTTTAATTAGTCTAACAATCAATAACAAATGACTAACAATCGATGTGCAAGTACAGAAATTCGATAAGTCGAAGTTGCCCAGCTAACTTTGCGGAGGTTTCCGATTATCCTACATGGGGTATGTTGGTTCTCGAAGATAGTTCTTTCTTTGATTTTTCGCTATCAGTGTCGTGTTAAGGAAAAATACGTTACAGGTATTACAAGAAAAATGAATGGTACCACAGTATTGCCACGTGTAACCACTCAAGTGATATCTACTAACTTCGAAACCAAATCTTTCAGAGATGAAAATTCAAGTGGAACAAGAGTATCACTCATGGAATGTGAATATAAATGGTATAATAAATCCCATTCCGCGAATGGCATTAATTCATTTTCACAAATTGGATAAAAATACCCTTTAACGAATTAGAAAATGAATGGCGTACTATATGGTAAGACAAATGGGAATTTATACCTTTGGCAAAACCCATTGAATTTTCATTGATAGATGATTGACGTACTCAATGGGATTATTTTAATAGTAATAAAGGGTAGACGACTTTGCCCAAAAGGGACAGTTCGAAAGTATTAATGCGAAACAAATGGTTAAATAATAATTACTATATAGTTTTCTGTGTTACAGTGTTCTGCAAAGTAGAAAAATTATGAGTAGTTTCATAATTTTTTAAGCACAATCGTATAACAGTATGTGTCTCATGTAATCTATATCGCAAAAAAAGTTTGCGCCGACATGTGCATTTGTGCGCACGCAGGAGACTTTACATATGTATATTAAAAATTTAAATGAAACATCAAGCTGATCGCCTTGAAAATTGTATGACAAGTTAATTTCCGGATGTAGATGACACATTAGTGTACGCAAATGTCTAACATTCCTGACTTGAAAATTGAGCATGCGCAAAAATTTGAACAATGTATATCATATGTCTGCATCCTTTACGTGCGATGTTTTTAATTCACCCTTCGAGGTTTCTTCCAGTCGCTGAATACAAATCAGGACTGGAGATTTTCAAAATTCAAAATTTAAAATGGTGAACCGAAATTCTAAAAATGGGTATTTAGAGATTTTAGAGGTTCCCGATTTCAAATCTGAAATAAAAACGGAAAAACTTAAATTGACAGATCTAATATGGTGGATCGAAATTACAGGAAACCGTCAGATTTACCCCAGTTTATTATTTGAGTATTTTACGACTTCGGCCCGCCAAATTGCATCCGCCATTTTATATTTTTGTATTTCGATTTCAGATTTGCAATCAGTGACCAGGAGAATAGTAAGTCTCGAATCTGAGATAAATCTAACTATTTTTATCAATTTCGGATCGCGAATTTTACTCCACCATCTTAAAATTTCATAATATGTAAGTTTTGACTTTATATTCGTCATTGGCAATGCGAAATATTTCTGGATACAGAGTTTTTATATAATGTGCAAAACTGTGTGCTTTAGATTTTATACAAATCAAAGTACTGTAAAATTTAAAGCCGTCGTATAGTCAGTCATTTTGAATTTCAAAATTTTTACTTCAAATTCGGATTCAACGATTCAAAGTATGTACCTGTAAGTATGAAGTTTTAAACAGATTGGATTGTATAATAAATGCTTTTCTTCCTGAGTTTGGAGAGATGTTGACGTACGGCTTTACCATATTTCGAAGCGTTTAAGGAAAAATAAAATTCCGGATGTAAACAAAATAGGAAGATATGCAAAAATCCAGCATTTTATTTTTAAAATTCCGTGCCCATAAAATTTATTTTTGTCCACAATAACGAGAGTACAAGATGCGAAATCATGGTTCATGCGTTCATGCCTTGAAGTAAATCTGTTTGCTCTGATATTGGTAAAACGGACCTGCTAACTCATAGAATGCCTTGTATAGACGATATTATTGGTACCAATAATTTGAAGCACTTAGTATAAATCCATACTTATCATTATTCACATTTTACTGTTCCTCCTTCCAAAAGCAGTGATTCCTTCAATAAAATCGGGAGAGTCAAGTCTTCGTAAAACTTCCTTAGCTTCATTATCATTGACGTTTAACAGAACTGATTGATCCCATTTCCTTACTAAACGTTTAGTTGCTGTTATAGACTGGAAAAATCAACATCAGAATGATTGTTATTAATCTAGCACAGTACATATATGTATACAGTTGAGTTGTTTAAAGTATAACAAACTTCTGGTTTGCTTAAAGGTTGAATAAAACCTTACTTTGCTTTGGCTTACTACATTTTGACTCTCTTCTTAAGGCCATTCTACAATGCAACGGGACATGTAACACGGAACACATAAGCGGCGCGATATTCAATTATATAATTCCATTGGATCCTCCAATCAAGAAGGAGAAAATCGTTTTTAAAACCGAGCGTTTACTAAGTCTCTACGATTTTGGCGACGTCCGGATATAGCAACGATACGGAAGCGGTTGCTAGGGTCGTTAAGGATTTCACGGAGCACGTAACGTTATTGTCAAATGTCATTACCTGTCACCTGTCATTACGAACTCTATAGACGAGGTCATTATCAATATCGTTAGAGAAATCAAATTTCTCTACGATAAAAGTCATCGTGACTTTAGAAATTAAGTAATGATTTACTTATCTACATGAATAAACGCATACACATTTTTTAATATATTTATATATTGACAGATAATGACAGGTGACAGCTAATGATATTTGACAATGACGTTACGTGCTCCGTGAAATCCTTAACGACCTTAGCAACCGCTTCCGTATCGTTGCTATATATTTTTAACGTACACCGTTACGGATTACAGAACGGGGCATGCTGGATGTTACTCATCACGTTACGTGCTCCGTGAAATCCTTAACGATCCTAGCAACCGCTTCCGTATCGTTGCTATGTCCAAGACGTCGCCAAAATCGTAGAGACTTAGTAAACGCTCGGTTTTAAAAACGATTTTTTCTTCTTGATTGGTGGATTCAATGGAATTAGGTAAATAAACAATTGAATATCTTGCCGCTTATGTGTTCCGTGTTACGTGTCCCGTTGCATTGTAGAATGGCCTTTATTATGTTTTTACCTCCGTATGCAGTAAAGAAGAAATTGGTAGATGTAGTGCAAGAATATGGGGAAAATAGTATATTGTGCATCAAGGGTGTAAGTCAAATAATTCTGACGAGTATCAAGTTTGTTGCACGAGCGAAGCAAGGGTGGAATTCACACGAGTCAAATTATATCCTTTCGTCCTTGATGCACACGATATTTCTGTCTGGCTCCATTTAAAAATGCGACATCTAGGTTAGACTCGATAAAAAAAAGTTTATTTCACGAATTTCGGAGTAAAAAGACTTTTAAATCCTCCATAGCGGGCGCAGAAATTTGTCTATGTCTGGTTGCGACATGTGCATGTACAGTCGTCACCAGACAGCAATTCACTACCCTATGACAAAGAAGATATTGTTACGATCGCTCCCTGGAATACGCGGAATGTGGTTATGGTTTACATTTGATTCGAGAAGGAACGATTGAGAATTATGAAAATTTGATGAATGTTTTTTAGAAAAGGCAGTTAGGATAGTCCGTTGGTCAGATTTGCCGGTGTTAAATGGTATGTCCACGCGTTAGGTCGGCCCTGTCTTTGACTGTTTTATTTCTTGCTACCGCGCACCACTTGTATAGTATTACACAACAAGGGTGCGCTATCCGACTGAGCTACTTGATTTAAATTTAATTTTGGTAAGTTAAAACACTCGGTTTCTATTGATTACCTAAAGTCGTTACTATGTCTACGCGATATGTTAATTGGTACAGTAGGTAAAGAATCGGAACAAATAGGAATTAGGTGCTAGAGGACTTTCCACTCGATGTGAGATCAATGATACAAAATATGTATACAAAATAATGTAAATATGGATGGATACAAAAAGACGATTTTTAGTCTTTCCAACCCTATTTAACGACTTTGTTTCTTATCCCTTCCATTACTTCTTCTGAATTTGATTGGTCTTTAATTCCTTTTCTTATTGATTAGTTAACGAATCAGAAAAGTAACAATTATCTGTCTGTTAATATATACTTGAGTCTTCCAATTCTAATAATGATTAGTATGACAAATTCCTTGTGAATATAATGCTTGATAAAATAATAAGGATTGGCGTAATTTGATTGGTCTTTAATTTTTAGTCTTTCCAACCCTATTTAACGACTTTGTTTCTTATCCCTTCCATTACTTCTTCTGAATTTGATTGGTCTTTAATTCCTTTTCTTATTGATTAGTTAACGAATCAGAAAAGTAACAATTATCTGTCTGTTAATATATACTTGAGTCTTCCAATTCTAATAATGATTAGTATGACAAATTCCTTGTGAATATAATGCTTGATAAAATAATAAGGATTGGCGTAATGATTTCCAATTGTATAAAAGATAACATAATTCATAAATTGTAGATTCTAACAAAATATGAGCGGAATATAAAACAAAGCATAAATGCAAATTAATAAGTATAAAGCATAGAGATTGATTATATAGACGATTGATTGACTGATGTACTTGTATAGTACTGTCAGTAAAGATAATGGCATGTGTAGTGTGTATAGTATATGTATGGGTTGGGGTATAACAATATGTTTGTATGATGTCATTAGATTTCTTCCTCTGAGAACTCGTGAAGTCGGTTGTCTACAGGACATCCATTTGGACGCTGCAAGGGGTGATGCTCAATTAGGCACAAACCCAATTGGATAAAAATGCGAATTTCTGTTTCCTGAGCGATATCTTCCATCAGTAATTCAACGATATTGTAAGTTATCTTTATCTGACGGAACCTTTTCAAACATTTAATGCTCTGTTCAGTCAGACTCACTCGCTTCGCTCGCTTGCCGACGATATACTTCTCCACTAACCTACCCAGTCTTCAAAATTTGAACATTCCACCCTATTTTAAAGTTACCTAAGCAAACTTAGTGTAAACTAATGTTAAACCACATACAATATACTATAATAAGATATCATTCGTACCTAATTCTATTCCATCTATTTAAAACTGGACAGAATTTGCAGTAAAAAGTAATTTGTGTCCAATTGGTCTGTACGCCAGTGCCCCCTCCCCGCACCCCTCCCCCACTGCAAGAGCTTCACCTACGGAACGACAGCGCAATGCGTTTCGTCACCCCGGAAATGCTGGCGAACTGTCGATGTAGCCTCTTGCAGTATGAGGGGTGCGGCGTTCAGGCGAATGGCGGTCACTTCGAGTACCTTCTTCATTGAGATAAGGAAAAAATTGTTTTAGAAAAAATTAATGTTTAAATTTAATTTTTAATTTATTTCGATTTTTATCATGCTTTCGGGGCTAGGTCCAGCGCTGCCTGTCTGCGCCCCTCTGTGTTCCTGTATAAAACGACTGGCTGGTCAGATTATGAAACAACTTCAATACATAAGGCACGTTTTACAACAGCATGTTAACAAATACAATTAAATATACTAATACATTTTTTATCATTGCATGTAAACAACATTCCCGGTGTAAAAAAATCTTTCGATCGACTTTGAAAAAAGTAAGTAAACACAATTTAAAACGAAATTATTTTGTTAATTAATTTAGAGGTTAAGTAAGGATGGACATATTTTGCACTGTCTTGTATCCTCTAAGATAGGTATAACACGTTTATTATGTTGTGAGCTTTAGAAATACAATGTTTGATGACGCTTGGCACACACTTTTCTATTTAGCAGTTTGTAAGGAACAAAAAAAGTACGAAACGAAAAATATACAATATATTATTTATGCACAACGTGGCACTTGCTGGCGAGAACGTTCACACGCGGCAAGCCTCGAACCGGACGCTCCCCTGTCCGTGGAGCTCGATGCGCTATCTATGTCTGCACGGTACAAGCCAACTTATTTGGTGGATCTATTTTATTAGTCAAACGAGAAGTCTTCAACATTTATTAATTTTTTTTTCTCTTTTCTATTTATTTTATGTGAACGCGAGAGGAAACAGCACTATGAGTTCAATCAGTGAGACGAACAACGAAAAGTAAACAGGATTCGCCTGTCATTATACTACATTCAAAGGTAAGCGAACCTTGCTCTATAATCCATTTATAATTTTTATTAAACAAATAAAATATAACCATCCACTTTTTCTTTTATTTTCTTTTCAGAAATCATATGCTATAACATATGATGTAAAACTTATTCGCTATCACTTGTTCACAGTCACAGTCTTGTTTGGTCTATACCTTTCCTATTCCCTTCCTATACTTTTCCGTATTCTCTACTTATACCTTTCTTATACCTCTATCCATGTGTATCCTATACCTTTTAAACATCCAGAATCCAAAATCGATGAATATCCTGTAACTTTCACATCATGAGTCGCGAAGGGCTAAAACTTGTTGTGAGTATTTCAGGGACGAAAAGAGACGATACGTGTGTTTGTGTTTCGGCTTTAGTTCATTTTTCGGTTGTACGTAATTTCACGAAGTTTTAAATTCGAAATACGTTCTCTAACTTTGACACCGGAAGTCGCAAATTCCTCAAACTTGGTGTGGACATTTTAGGGACGAAAAAAAAAGGGATATGTGAGTAGTATAGCTGTGGGCATTCTGGATACAGATTCCTGCACCGACCTTTACCGACACTCGAGAACCTTCGAAGGTGGGTGTCCGTGTTAAGTTGGCAACGTGCGTGCCCACAATTTCTGACCTCAGTGAAGTTAGCTGGGCAATTTTAACTTTTTAACTTTTTATCATACTAAATCGATTGGTGGTCGTTTGGTGGCCATTGATGGCCTAATAAAAATATTTGGTGGTCAGTCATTCTTTTATAATCAAATAATCAAAACTTGACCGTGAAGTTAGCCGAAAATTTTTTTTTCAACGAATTAAATTTTTCAGGTGCTCAATCGATGCGTAATCGTTTGGTGGTAACTAATATCATAATTAAAATGTTTGGTGGTTGTTAGTTTTCGTAAAAAATTTAAAAAACGATTGCTGTGTCCAGCATTGACTTGATATGGGTGTAAGAACACACATTTACGGTCGATAAAACAGATATTTCTGAACAAATTCTCCCTTCGAAAGAATTAATCAATGCAAGAACGCTAGCCGATGATTGGTAG